TTATATCATTATTTATTTTAATTAAATATTTAAGTAATCTTTTTAGAAATACTAAACAAACAATCGAGTGTTCTCGATATTTCTATAATAAATGCTAATTATGTTTTCTCTTCTTCCAACGGTTCAATTTGGTTCTTTCCAAATTTATCCTCAATAGCATTTACATATTTTATTATAACAACTGGAAGTTTCTCAAGATCTTGTATCAATTCTGGCACAAAATTAATTATACTTTCAAATATTTTTTTTGTATAGTTAGGATTTGATTTTCCATAAGTTGAAACCAAAGCAAGCAAAAGCCCCTCGGTAATCAATTGTTCTCGATACAAAGCTTTTGCTAATTTAGACGAGGAGGAGGACGAGGACGAGGACGACGGTGATTTATTGATAATTTCAAAAGCTAAATTGGTAGGTTCAGATAGACGTAATAATACCATTAAAACTTTTTTGTCCAAATCTATTTCTAATTGTTGAACATTTTCTCCAAAATTAGGCTTGTTGTTTTTGTTAGAAATTTTTTTACGAAGTGCAAAAAAAGTTTTCAAAAACTTTTGTAAACTCTTGTTACTTAATAATGCTTCAACAAATTCCGAAACAGAAGCTTTAAGAAGTAACGAAAGTCCTACCCCCCAAGCGGTAAGTGCCTTGTTCCAATCGTTTGACGACAATTCGGGGGAATAGCTTACATAAGGAGGGAATGAAAATTCTTCAATTTTCATTTTTGTTTGAATTATTAATTCATCAAAGAATATGTGATCACTATTACCATCACTGTAATACGTGTAACGTACTGCGCACAATGATTTTTTGCTGCACCTCAAATTTCCATGATTTCTGTGATACACATACAAACTTGATAAGTCGGCCGCATAATTTATATTAGCGAGTACTTTAAACAATTGATTACTGCGGGCCGACTTATCGAGTTTGTATGTGTATTCACAAAAAAATGGTCACATTACAGAATTTAATAAAGTTGCACAATTAAAATGCAAGACAATTAGTAA